TTCTCTCACATAACCAATAACTTATTTCAAAAGTGTATCCCTCCGATGTTACTGGGTCAATGCTAGCCTGAATACCAGGTGCTATGAAGACTGTGCTATTTGTGGTTCTCACTCTAGAAATTTAATGCACTACTGTTCTAAAAGACGAACCCTACTCTAGAAAGTTACATTTTCATTCTCCTTGGTGTCAATTTAGTGGCATATGCGAAAATATGTTCTTTAAAAGGCAAAAAAAAAAAAAGAAAAGCTCTTGCCTTATATTTTACAAGATTTCACTAATTGAATAGAGAAAATAAGCCATATTTAAGGTAATGTTTAAGTAGTGAAAGATCATTTACCACATATATAAAGAAAAGAAGAACAAAAACTTTATTGGTTGAGTTTTTATACCTAACTTATCTGGGAATTAATCCCAAGGTATCTTATCATGCAGCATTGTAAACTACTGTAAAAAAGATATATCAGCTAACAACCTTTTGAAAACTCATCCTCATTGTTATCGCCCCCCTAGGAGATACTGAGTGAGATAAAGACCCCATGATATCTCTTTTATTCTATTCTCTCTAGCATAAAAAAATCTAGTATTAAACTTAGTTATGCGAGGCTATTTGCCATTGAATGATGATAGGAAAACACCCTCAGTACTAGAATGTGAGAAATGACATGTAAGTACCAGACCATGTATTCATCCAATCTCTTATTTAACAGATAAGGAAACTGAGACCCATGAAATAGTGATCTATCTTCTATGGAGCTAAGACCATGAACAAGATTTCTTTGCCCGCTGCTCTTTCCACTATATAGTTATGGTACACTAGGGTGCACCCATGGATAATCACTGGCTTTATGGACCACCATAATTAATTCAGCAAATGTTTGTGTACCTACCATATCCTAAGCATTAGGCTAAGCACAACTAGAAAAATACTCCTCCTGCTTTTGTGTAGCATATAATCTACTGTCACTTTAAAATCTTTCTCTTTAATTTTCTGAAGAGTCTTGAGTCATGTTAGAAAGCCCAAGTGAACCCCTTAGGTTGATTTTCTACTATGTCAGTATCTAGTCTTCTTAAAACATATATTAAGTTGGGAATAGTTGGTAGTTGGTATTTCAAGTCTTCCTAGACCTCTGTCTGTCTCTCTCTCTCTCTCTCTCTTTCTCTCTCTCTCTTTCTCTAAACAAGAACCAAACAAAAGAAGCTGTAGAATTTTTTTTAAAGAGAATATATTATTCCAGGGTACTTGATTACTGTAAAAACGGAAATAATGTTACATGGTCTTTTCTTAGGGAATTAAATACCTAGAGATATGGGTAAAGGTTGAAGTACGTAGAAACGAGGCCATCTCTACTGGATGATGTTTTACATTTAAATGAAATGGGGGGAAATGTTATGCATCTTAATCATTACCTTTGTGTCGTGGCATAACGATAGAGGGAAATAATAGACTTGGATTCAAGATTTAACTTTATAATATTCTTATTTGGAGATAAGCTTGGACCATTCTTTTCTTCAGTTTCCCCATCAACAAAAGGGGCCAATCATCTCTGCCCACCCCTGTAGGTCATAGAAAATGTTTCTGATTTCTGTCACCAAAGAGTAACGTTACTTGCTCCTGAATTTTGTAACTATGGAATCTTAGAGTATATGCTCTTTTGTGTCTTAACATTTTCACTCATCATTATGTCTGTGAGATTTATCCATGTAGTTGAATGTTTTATTGCTGTGTATTAGTCCATTACATGACTTCATGGCATTTATTAATTCTCAGAAATATTTCTGTTCTTTAAAACACTATAAAACAGCAAGCTCTGTTATCTCCAATCTTGACTTTTCTTCTGAGGTCCGCCTTCCTGTATTTAAGTGCCAATGGCCACTTTCCTTGACTATTAAATAGATTCTGATTGCTTTTCCTCCTATCGACGTATTCTGTACACAACTACCAGATTGATCTTCATGAACTCTAACTTTCATTATGTCATTCTAGTTTTTCTTTTTCTATAAGATAAAGTTCAAACCCTATGGTTTAGAAATTTAAAAACTCTTATTCTAAATCTCACACTGTTTTTCTAGATAGATTTGCTCACTGCACTATATCTCTATCCTCCCACCACACACGCACAAATGCACACACGCGTGCACACACACACACACATCTCTCTGAATCAAATTAAAGTCTGCCTCCTATTTTCACTCCCTCCATGCCATTCTGTCCACCTGGAATGCAACCCTCTTCATTCTTCACATTGTCCCATCTCTCCAAGCCAGTCTCCAGCTGTACCAATGCAGTGTGAACTTCCATCACTTCCCTTTCTTTAGCTCCATTCCCTGAGCATTTATTTACCTCTCCCCCTCACATACATACATATATGCAGATATATACACATGCACTCAGGAGAGAAAGAGCTATTTCCTAACACAGTGTCTTTAATTCAATATTCTTATCTTCAAAACCGAAATAATACACAGTTTCGGGGGTGGTTGTGAGGAGGAAATGAGATGACATATGTAAAGAATGTGACACATTTTAGGCATTTAGTTGGTACTCAGTAGTGATAGCCTTTGCCACTATCACCTTATTCAATTATTTTGGCAAGAAAATAGTCTTCAGAGTCATCTTCAGGAGATTTTCTCCAGTGTAGTAGTCAAAGCAAATTAAGTGATTTACATTCCTTGGTGTTTTCCCAGAGGATACGTCCACCAAAAGACAAGTGTAAAAATATTCATAACAAGTTTACTTATAATAGCCAACAAAGAAACCCAGAAACATCCCAAATATCTATCAAGAGCAGAATGAATAAATGTCATGTAGTCATGTAATGGAACGGTGCACAGCAATAAAATATGCAACTATGTGAATAAATCTAACAGACATAATGATGAGTGAAAGAATCAAGATGCAAAAGAGTGTATACTCTAAGATCCTATATTTACAAAATTCAAGAGCAAGTAACATTAATCTTTGGTGATACAAGTCAGAATATAGTTATCACTGGGGACTAGAGGGTTTTGATTGAGAAGGTTCAGGAACATGCTTCCCTGGGTGCTAGAAATAAAGCGAGTAATGGTTACATTGATGCTTATATAGAATTCATCAAACTATACCCTTCTGGCAATTTTTAATGCATATCTTGCCTCTTTAATTTTTTTTTACATGGCTTCAGACTTCAAGGAAAAGAAAGCACAGCAAGTTTTCTTTTTCAAGTTGTCTTCTTATCTGTTAACTTCGCTTCTTTCCTCTATTACAGATTTTGGAAATTTTAACTTTCTTTCCATTGAATGCAGCAATTCTTTGTTTAACCCCTCCCTCTATTTACCCACTACCTTACGCTACTGTACAAGAACCTCAGCATCTCAGTGTGTTTCACTTGGGACAAGTTCAGCGGGTCTCTGTCTCTAGAAATCACAAAAGTAAATAACTCACCAGTTGAGTAGCAATAGATTTAGGCTTCACTGGTTGGCTTAAATATTTTATTCTAGACAGAGAGCTCAGGACCCTGTGGCACCACCATTCTCTGAATGTTTTGTAGCTTAGGCAAACAGATACCTGCAGTATGCAGAAGGAAATTCAAACTTGTAAAAGATACAGAGAAGAAAATATAGATGAAAGTGATAGATGTGTGAATCTATGGGGATGTATGTGAGATACTATTTCTAAATTTTCTTTATTCATTCAGAACTTATGGCTACTTGATGCAATTTAGCTAATCTCCATGTGTAATACTTAGACATTCATGAAATCCCTGCATACTTTCTTTCCCAGTTCTTTACAAAATAATCTCTGATGTTCCTCTCCATTCATGGAAATTCAATTGAAAGACTCCTCTCCCTTTCTGACTATATATTTATCTTCTTCATTCTTCCCCCACCACGTGACTTAGCGTGAATCTCCCAAGTACCTTCCCCAGCTCCAGCCCCCAGCTCTTCCCTTGAATTGGATTTTTCTTCAACTATTACTCTCTTTCCCATGCTCTTGCCAAAATCTAGCATAATATGCTAGTTAGCAGTACATATTTCAGTTTTGTACCCTCATCTGGACATCAAAAATATATACTTCACACTTCAATATAAAGTTAATATTTTCTTCCCTTCCCTTTCCTCCCTTTTCCCTCCACCTCCCTCCCTTTTTCCCTCCCTCCCTGTCTCTCAATTCACAGGCCCAGCAACAGCACCTGCTTCACAGAAACAAGGCTGGTCCTGTTCTGATTTCTCTAGTCTTCCCTTAAAAACTAAACGGAGATGCAGTCCCTCTTCCTGACACACACAGAAGTGAAAGGAGACACACAGAGGGAAAACACCCTAGGGAAAACAATTCCCTTTTTTGGAAGGACATTTTTTAAACTTAATCTCTCCCCAGAAACCTGAAGTTCTCCTCTTTGCCTTGTCCTTACAGTCCTGGTGTGGGGGCAGAATGTTTCCTGATTTAGCTGTCTGGGCCTCTAAATCTGTTTCACTCTCTAGCCATCTTACTGGGTTCTTGCTCTCTTTTGCCTCTTTCTCCCCTTGGATCTCTGGGGCGTGTGTGTGTGTGTGTGTGTGTGTGTGTGTGTGTGTGTACACGTACTATTTCTCACTTGGGGACTCATTTCTAATTAACTAATCCAAGAGGCTAAAATGCACAAAACAACCAAATGAAACCTCAAATTAGATGGAAAATGGCTCAGATGGGTCCCAATCTCTGGCAGTTCTAGTTAAGCAAGCAAACAAAATGGGCTGGGACAAATGATTATTGTAACTCAGGAAGATTAGAAGAAAATGTAATTAGCTCCCCAGCTACTTCTTGTTCCCAAGCCTTCTTAGAGCGTCCAACGCCCCAGCCGTGAATGTACCCAAGGCTTCCTTATCCAAACCAAAAAGTCCCCGCTGCAACGCTGGGAGGGTTAACAGAGCTGGTACCCCAGCCTGCCAGCTCACCAAAGGAGAAAGCGGTAAGGCTCAGAGCCCGCCCCCTGCCAAGCCGCCCAGCCAATAGGCACCTGTGGGGAATGTGGCGCTGTGTCCCATTGGCTGCCAACCTACGTGCATAAGAAAGAAAGAGAGAGGCAGGCAGGGCAGCATTGTTATCTTAAGACACTCATCTGGTGTCTGAGTCTGCAGGTGACACTGCTTAGGTACGGAGTGCAGAGTCGGAGCAGGGACGCGCTGGGTTGCAGCTCTGGGATGCGATCCGCCTGCCTCGCAAGCCGCTCGCTGCTGTGCTGGCAGCGCCTACGCTGAGCTCTGAGGATCCCGTTAGGACTTGCCCAGGGATGTGCACCTGCTGTGCGCTCTGAGGTCAGGAGCAGGTCTGCAGGCAGCAGAGGGAGCGGTGAAGCCAGAGGACCTGTCTCTGCCCATGTGCAAGGCAGTGATTTCGGGTGAGAGAAGGGGTAGGTGAGTGTCTTTAGAGTTGGAAAGAAGGCAAAATCTTGGGTTTCTCCTCTGCGGAGGGACAGGGGACTCCCGCAGTTGGGTTTTACACTTTCCTTACCTCTCCCACCCCGTGTGCTCCCGGGCCCCGGTGCTGAAGCCCCACTTCAAAGATTCTGTGGGAGAACGGGATCCTTGCTGCTCAGCGGGAAGGCAGCAGGCAAATGGTCTAACGTTGGCGGCGGTGGCGGCGGCGGCGGTACCGACAGTAAAGCGGGGAGCAAGAGAATTTGAAAAGAGACATCCGCTCCCTCTCACACGCTGAGGGGGAGGCATTCGCGTTTCCCCAAATGAGAAAGAGCCACAAGAAATCATGAAGTAAAAACTTTGGAAAGCTGCCACTGGAGATGTTGCACAAAAACCTGGAATCTTTTAGGAGTCTCCTCCCAGTCGTTGAAGGTTTGGGGAGCAGCTGATACAGCAAGGAGGGCTCTTGCAAGGATTCAAGGTAACAGTGCAGGGTTTTGGTGATTTTTCTCTATCCTCTTTTCATTGTCCTTTTTGGTGTGTCCGTTGGTAAAGGGACCATTTTGCTCTCATACAACCCTCTTGCCCTGGTGCCTGGCAGTTGCAGGCAGAGGGAATGATTCCACCTCTCTCAGTTGCTGTCTTATAGAGCTGAGCAATGGACTTTGGGGCTGAGCTACAGATCACTCTGGTATTGCCTCCTGGTGTTACATGGCTGTCTCAGGGTTTGGGCACTCTGCCTGACCTATATTGCTTTTGCCTGGTTTAAGTCCTCAAAGTTAGTGCAACTCCTATTAGCTTCAGAAAATTCAATAGGGCTGCGTAATTGCAGATGATGATGAGGACTTTTGCCTGCCCAGCTGACACGGGGAGGTTCACTATTTGGGAAGGACCCCAGAGAGCTGAGGTTACGATGCACGATATCCATATTCTCGTGTTCACAGAGCCTATGGTATGTTTCCCATGCACATGCTGTCAGGAAAATAAAATTCCAAACAGTGAACCCTGTAGGTTGCAAATAGTCTCCCCAGGGTGGTGGCAGAAGCCCCATTGATCGAGTTGAGCCTGGCAGAGCACTGGATACAGTAGGGAAGAACATTGCTGTGCTGAAAGGTGGGATGTGCTGGTATCATCTAGCAGATCTCTATTTCTATGATCATCTGGGTACACGGTTGAATGCTGTCTGTAATGTGTGTATGTATGTGTGCTTGTGCTCACAGCTGTATGCAGGAAGCAGGCTGCCTATGGAAGAATCAAGCATGTGCAGCACCCTGCCCAAACCACAGATGCCTCGGGTGTTCCTGCCTAGTAGGAACATGAACTTGTGAGCTGTGGTTCCAGCTCAGAGGACTTTTATCCTCACCAAGCAGTGCCTCTTCATGGTACATATTTATCCAGGGTATATAGACCTAAGCCAAATATTAACTAATATTCAAGCTAATGCACTGTAACGTGATTGAACAGACCCCTCTGTAAAGAACTGTATGTGTGCTCTTTGCAGCCCTGGGAGCAGGGTGCCATGAGCAGAAATAAATGTTTTGTTAAAAGGATAACAATTATAAAAGGCTAAGCTTATAGATGGGTACTCTGGGCCTTATTTAGCAGGGACAGTGATATGTCAGTATAGACCAATCAGAGGGATAAAAGGTATATTGTAAGTCAAGTATTTCTGCCTCTGTCCTTCTCCAGACATGTGCATGTTGAAGTGACTCTCTCTGACCATGCTTGCTAAAATACATGCAATGCCAGTATTAACCAAGCAACTAAAGTATTTTACCAAATCCCCTGGGGGGCAGTCTGATGACATCAGGCAACAGCAAAGTGATGCTGGAGTTTGTGTGCTTTCCCTCCTGACTTCGCACAGTTGTGTGTATGCTATTTGTTTAAGGCATGATCATCTTGAGTCCCCCTTCACCCAGAATAAGTTGCTTTGCAGCACTAAGGGCATGACCAAGCAATGCTGCCGCAATGATCCTGTCTTATCAATATCAGAGCTGCTGCCTACACTAGAAAAAGATGCATGGCTTGCTTCTTTGAGGAGGATATGATTTGAAAAGGTACAGAGAATGTATATTGTGAAATGTTTGAGAGAAAGAAAGCAAATGTCAGACCATAGTCTACCCTTCTGGAGGGCAGCTGGCTCCAAAGTGTTCGACAGCTGAGCTGCAGCCATGGAGAAGACAGAAGCATTCTTGACTCTTACTTCCCCTCCTCACCAAAAATGGAGCTGGCTTTGTCTCCCAGAATGGAGTGATATGTGCTGCAGTGTGGGGACAAGAAAGGAGGTGAGGAGAAAAGGGCCGGGGAAGGAGGAACGCTCCTGCTCTGTCAGCATGGGTCTGGTCTCAAAGATGGGGAGCATCTTCTCTTTTTGGCCCTCAAAATTATCTTCTAGGTGCTCCTTTCTGGCCTCCTGAAAAGTTGTTTACTAAGCAAGGCCGAAGGGCAAAGAACATCCCTGCATCATCACCTTCTCCTGATCCCCTTTCCCAAGACACAGGCTAGCCACTGGGGAGCATCGCAGAAAAATGATACACTCCTTTGAGGCACTGCTCTGAAATCCCTCCCCAACTCACAAACAAGAGGTAATCTGGAGGGACTTGAGACATCTGCGTGGGCACTTTCTGCTGACTGGGATGCTTAGATGAGGTTTCCTGGTTAGTGTTTTTTTTCCCCCACTGCACAGTATATTTTTAGCAATTCAACTAAGACCTTGTATACATTTTATAATGACATCCTCTTCCAAAGGGCTGAGGGCACTATACAGAGCTCATCAAATTAATCCTCACACAGCTTATTGTCTCATTTATCTTTGATTACCCTAAGAAGTAAAGCTAGAATGATGTTAGCCCCCTTCTTGGAAAAGGGAGGGCAGAGAACCTCAGAAAGAGGAACTGCTTTATGCCAGGTCACACAGCACTTAAGGGACACTATGGAATGGGATCGGGGTTTCACTGCTCCTGAGCCAACCCCAGACTCCATGGCCTTCTTCTAAGAAATGGTTTGATCTTAGTAATTATAATCTGATTTAGTTGCTCTGTACTACAAGGATGGAGATGTTACAATGCACAGGGTTTCTCCTTTGGGACTAACCCAAGGGCAGTGAAGAATGAAAGTCTTGTAGGTCTTTGCCCTTGCCCTCAGTGATCTTACAGTCTAGTTAAGAAACTAGGCTTACATCTGACAAAAGGGAATTGATGATGTAAGTTCTAAACAGTAATTCAATACCAGAGAATTCACAAGGCTGACCTAATTAATCTGCGATTGATTTGTACAGATAATGAGAGCTATCAGTACTCAAAGGAAGGAGAATTGGAGTTGAGCCATGAGGGATGGGGTTGGATTTGTTTGGATAGAAAGAAGAAGGGAAAGGGTTCTAGCCAATAGAAATAATAACTGTAGCACTGTTGGGAAGGTTGGAAACTTCAAGACTTGCTTGATTCCTTGGGGTTTACTCTGGGCCACCTATTTTCTTGCATTCTATAAATACCATATGCCTGGTTAAATTATTTTAAACGTAGATTGTTCTAAAGGAAGTTGCCCTAGAACCTAGGCAGGGAGCTCTGGAATGTTGGGCATCTCATTAGACATTGAAAATTACCTGGCCTGCCACCCATCCTCAAGCCTAATCTATATATTGTAAGAAAAGTATTGCTCAACCTCAGAGAGCTTAACATCATATCCAAGAATCTGAATGAGAATACTGGGGACAAACAAGCAAATTTTAAGAGATCACATACACACACACACACACACACACACACACACACACACACACACAGAGCTTCTCATGTTTTAGAATTAGAATCTCCTAAGAGAGAGGCTTGATTTTCCTCCATTTCCTATTTCTCCACCCAAATGTTCCTCCTGGGGTTTTCTTAGAGCTGGCAAAATGCCAAAGCCCTTAGGCATTTAGCACTGAGCAGGAGATTTTCAATCTTAAGATTCTTGAGCATGCCCATGTACATAACCTCGTCTCCCCTTCTCTCTCCCTTTTAATAAAACATATGTTGTAGCAGTCACTAAAGAGGAGACCACGAAAAAGCAGGGAGGGGGCGGGGTGCAGTGTTGCCTGAAGCTGTACCACAGGGCACCATGCTTGCTCAGCTGGGCAGGAGAGGAGAGAGGCAGCCTGCCAGTGTGGCAACACCAAGGAAGAGCCCATGAGGAGAGAGCCGTGACCAGCCAGCCATGCACATTTGCTCCCACAGCAGGCATCTCTCCCAGAGGAAAGGTCAAGGCAAACACAGGGCCTGTGAGAGGAATGATAACACAACCTCCCTAGTCATTGGTCTTCACATGGTTTGAGATGTTTTTCGTGCTGTAAGTCACTGGTCACTTGGGTGGCCCCATTCCAACATGGAGGAAGTTCCCATTGAACATAAAAGTGGAATGGCTTACCTAAAGTCACTCCATAATTGCTCCCAGATCAAAAGCACAATTCCCATGAACCCAGTCTGTTTGTTTGCTTAACCCTACGAGTTTATTTGGGGAATGGGTCTCCAAGACATTATTTTCCCTTGAAAATCCTTTCCTGGACCTTGCTGTCACCCTTGTTTCCTGCGTTAAATAACTGTGCAACCAGACTGTGGGCATGATACCTTTTCTCTTTACTATTCAGAGGTATCCACTCCTATGTTTGGGGGCTGAGGTAGAGAACTGGGGCCATGGGCGTGTGGTTAGGGGTTGTGAATTAAAGACTCTTCTATCTGGAAATGAAGACAGGCAGCTCAGTTATGCTTCAAACTGGGAGCAATGGTGAACCATTCTCATGTGCCAATTAGGATGTGACCCTATTTAAATTGTCACTCTGCCATAGACAGAGAAGTAAAGTTGAGTAGCATCAACACAGCATGGAATCATCAACAATCAGACCCATTATTCCTCTTACTGAGGTTCACATGAAATGCAAACATTTCTGGAATTCTGGATTGGGCAAAGGGAGAAGACAATTTGATACCTCACCGGACTAATCTCTAGGCACTTGCCAATACAATAGCATATTGGTATCATGTGGCTCTTGAGCATTTGAAATGCATGCTGTAAATGTAAAATATGCATTGGGTTTTGAAGAGTTGGTTATAAAAGAAAAGCAATGTAAAATATCTCATCGGTATTTTTTTAATCTTCATTACATGTTAAAAAGATAATATTCTAAATATATTGGGTTAAATAAAATATATTAAGATCAGTTTCATTCATTTTTTTTTTTTAACTTTTTAATGTGGCTATTAGAAAAGTTAAATTTATCTAAGTGTCTGGCATTATTATTATTATTTTTGGATAGTGTTAGCAAAGGCCCTGCAGAGTTGCAACAGGATAATGGGGAAAAGGGGCAGAGGCAAGAAATAGGAGGAGTCAGAGACAAAATAGAGAAAGAACATGGAAGGAGGGGTCAGGAGTAGCCCAGAGTGAGCCTTAGGGCATGTGTTTCTAAAATTTCAAGCCAAGAAGGACACAAATAGCATACACCAATCTATA